AGAAGGTACTATCTGTTCACATACAAGGTACTATCTGTTCACAGCCACTACAACTACTATACAACTGATGAACACACCACTGAATCTGGTCATGCAGAAACTGAAGAATTCCCCGATGTTCTCAGTCTGGATTTGATCAAATGTGCAATCACGATGCTTGGATGATTAGTGGCAATTGGAATGCAAAAGGGGAAACAAAGAAGGAGCAGTAGTTGGAAAACAGGGTTTTGGTGAGAAAAACCATGCCGGAGACCACCTGGTAAAATTTTGCAAGACCAACACGTTCATTAAAAATTCCTTTTTGCATCAACACAAACGGCGACTGTACACGTGGATTTCTCCAGCTGAATCCACAGAAATCAAATGGGCTACATCTGTGGGAAGAGATGGTGGAGAAGATCGACATCCGCAGTCACGAATGCTTAGAACATGAGGCCAGGTGCTGGCTGCGGAACGGACCATCAATCGCTCCTATGCAAGCTCCGGTTGAAGTTGAAGGAAACGAAAACTATTGCATACGATCCAAAACCGAACCTCAGTTCTATCCCACCTAGATTTCAAGAACAGATCTGATGCACGAAACAGTGATGGCAGAAGACCTCAGGGGCTGTGTTATGACATCAAGAACATCCTACTTTTCTTCTTCTTTTTCTAAGACCACCATACCTGAAGAAAGTAGAAGGCCATTCAAGAGGCAAGAAGGAAGGTAAAGATAAGAAGAGACGCTGAAATTTGCTCTCAGCCATGCGTACCTAAGGCAAATGGAAGAAACCGTGAGATGTAAGGGCTAGATTGACAACTCCAAAGAGCAGCCTGAGAAGAAAAGGTACAATGTTATAATGAAATATGCAAATACCTGGAGTTTGAAAATCATGTCATAAATGGACCGTTGAAGGCAAGGTTGGTTCAGGTTGGAGAGAGACTTGATACTGGTGTCCAGCTGAAAGGTTTGAAGCGTCTAAAATCATTTGGGAGGACAGTGAATGGTAAGGAGATGAGATTGTATGGCCAGCGTCTGCATCAAAGTACGGAGGCAGGATTGTGTTTATGACCTTGTGTCCAGCGCAAGGTGCATTGGAGAGGGCCAATCGAAGATGCCACGTGTTTAAGAAGCAGCCATTCTTGCAATCGTATCCCCATCACCTGGGAAATTGAGGGGGACAACAAATATCCGTTTACTAAAGGATCAGTAGTAATGGAGGAGAAGATAGTGATTGAGACCACGCCCCAACCAAGAAGCCCAAAGCCACTGCCGTCCCTTTGAGGTGGACTTGTAAGGACAGAGCACAGCTGCTCTGGCGGAGGTCCCAGTGTTGTCGATCTTTACGTAGCTCAGCCTCCACATCCTCATCCTGCAGAGTGGTGTTGGGAGGTAACCACTGACATTTGGGTGTGCAGTTGAGCACTTAACGAATGCCCATCTTTTAACAACCCGAAAAGGCGCACACTGGAAATTGAAAGCGGGGAAGAAGCAGAGCCACATCAGACAGAAAGGCAAACATGAGCCTAAACCCCAAGTAAACAGAGGCTGAGGGAAGGCGTCTGTTGGCTCCGGCAGCTGCCCTTTCTGTCTTGAGAAAATAGCTTAATGAGTCCTGTTCACATCTTTATCTGCTGCTGCTAAAAGTTCCCAGAAGTCTTTCCAGGTGTTAGAAAGATTATGGAACATCAAGGAATTTTTTAAGTTTGAGTGTCCCTGTCAACAACAAACACAGCAAGACGAAATGCACTGTGGCTGAGTTGGTGGCCACTCACAGTGATTCTAAATTACAGAGTTGGACGGCTCCCTGGAATTTTTTTCAAGACTGTAGTTTTTATGGAAGCAGAATGCTGTGGGATGTAAAAAAACTTTTCCCCAGCTTCGTCTTCCCCAAAGATATGAAAAGCATTAGAGGCTGTTTGCCAGCAAATGGTGGAAGTCAGATGCTTAGAGATATTCTCCCTGAAGGCATTCGGCCTTCAGACTACTGTCTGGTCCCACCACAGGTGGGGCTCGCTCCCCACTGTTTGGGACAATGGATTACTTCCCCTGAAAGCCTAGGCTAAATCAAGTCTCCAGCTCCAGGGCAATCAAGGTGAGGCCTCCATCATGAATCTAGGATCCACCCATGTTGTCACGTGTACCCCCAATTCCTCCTCTTCCTATAGCAGGTACACCCCTAGATTGTCCCTCTCACATTGCTGTATAATCTTTAGTACAGTCCCTTCGTGTGACATATGTCTTTACCTGTAATCAGGGGGCTTACACGCCCCCAAAAGATATATAAGCCTTGGTTAGTAATAAATCACTCTCCTCTCTCCTACCTTCTCTGCCCATGCTGTGCGTGGACCTGCCTGTTGAGATCACGGCCATTCAGGAGGTGAGCATGCTACCATGAAATGTGTCTGGCTTCTTTATTTTACTCTCTTTCTCCTATTACTCTATGACTTTACTATAATCTTTATATGTCTCAACCGTACACTTGTGCATACTGAACCCATGATGAGCTGTGAGGGGCTGGCTCACCCCCACAGAATGCCATGTCTTTCTCCAGTGGAGGAGCACCAGGCAGGTTCCAACCACTGACCTTCAGGTTAAGAGCCAAGCACGTTAACGACACACTATCCTCATGTGAAGACACAGAATGTACAAGCTGGCAGGACGAGGAGGGATAAAAGCATGACTGGGCTCCAGCCAGGTGTGGGGATAAGATCATTGATCATGCAAAGAACTCAGTCGAGTACGGTTCACGTTGTTCAAATTTCACCTGGGAGCTCACACCAATGGGGTCCCATCCAATACCCCTCCCAACCCACCAAGCCAAGCCGAGCCAAGTCTACTGCCATGAATTTGATCCTATATGACAGACCAGAACTGCCCCACAGGGCTTCTGAAGCAATATAATCATTGTGAAAGCAAATCTTTCTGCCATGGAGTGACTGGTGGGCTCAAACCTCAAACAATTTGATTAAGAGACAAGAGCTTAAAACCACTGTGTCAGGTGTGCACTTTCGTTGAGAAATAGGATGAGATGAACTCTTCGGGCCAGTGTGTCACGAGGGCATGCTGAGGGACCAGAGTTCATTGCGGGAGTTACAACTCACAAGGGTTATCGAAGAGCCAAAGACAGCGTGGGATGCCATTGATTCTGTTAAGCTTCGGAGACTGCTGGGGTGGCTGCTGGGAGCCGCAATGTTGGCCCTGACTCATGGGGACCTCTTTTGGTCCTTGTTGATCTTCAACATCCTTCTTGGCATGCTCCAGCCCCTGGTTTGGGCTGCTGGGTGTCTTGGGTGCCTTTCAAGCCAAGGGATTCACCTTCCAACAGTGTCTCCAGAAGTCTTCCAATCCAAAAGGGTGCCCAGCCTCCTGCGTCCACTCTGGGGTTGTTCGATGCGAGGCCCTTGCTTCCTCTTCCATCCTGCACTTTAGATCCAGTTCCAGTCTCAGACAAGTCCTGCTTCCTACGTTCCTCATGTGTGCTTGCATTTTTACATGCATCAGAGGGATTCCCTAGGAATTTAGTGTGGGCAGCAGGGAGTGGAAGGTTGCGGGGATCACAGGACAATTCCCATGTGACCAGGAACAAGCACTCTGTGAGGGAATAATGCCAGGAGGCTTTTGGTGACCAGTATACCAACACCAACATTCAAAGGCATCTTCTTGGGTCTTCTTTAGACATTTCATGCACATGTGAACAACCAGGGCTTGGACCAGACCTGCCTTTCCTTTATGTGACACCAGTGACCTTCAGCACTTCAAGGGACCAATGGAAACGCATCCTTGGATGTCGTGAGTGCCATATCCATGGGAGTTGAATTGTTTGTTGTCAACTCCAGTTGTTCAGATAGTTTTCCTAAAAGGTGGGGAGTGGGTACTTACAGGGATGCACTTCAGGTGCTTGGCCGCTAACCCAGAGGTGAGGATTTGGAGGTTGTGTTACTCTGGGTAGACTAGAGAAACAAATGCATAGAAACTCATATGTGTAGAAGAGAGAGTTTTATATAAAGGGTAAGTGTACCTTCAGAAAGCATCCCAACCCAGTCCAGCCCAAGCCTATAAGTCTGATATTAGCCCATATGTGCGATACCAATATTAAAAAGTCCTCTTCAGACTCACGAAACATGTGCAATGACGTCGAATGCAGGAAGATCACAGGCAAGTGGGTGGAAAGTCTTTGGATCCAGTGGCGTTGTACGTATCTCAGCGCTGGCAGGGTCTCCACGTGGCTCCCCCAGCTTCAAGGCTGCTTCAGGGCAGGTCCATGTGCCTTCCCAAGGTATAGTGCCACGTGGCTAGTCAGTAGAGCATCTCCAAGGGAGTGAAGTGGTGAGAGAGAGTCTCTCCCACCTCCAAGGAGGAAATAAATATCAGAGTTTTCCCAGAATCCTCAGGAGAAAGCCATGCCCACAGAGGCCTCATTGGCTATGACCTGATTGACAGGCTAGACTCCACTCCATCCACGCTTAATCCTCTCAAGTCCCCAATTGACACCAGGTGATGTAACCACCTCAGAGGCTCGCGTTCACCTGGATGTGCCTTCAAAGAGAGGCCTGCTGGGCTCCTTCTGAGAAACCAGAAGGTTGAAAACTCCGGGGAGAGTCTGACCCACTGTGGGGGCTACTGTGAGTCATCGTCCACCCCAAGGCATCGGGTGTGTTTGACTGACATCTCTTTTTGGTGGTGGGCGTGGAGCCTTACCATTTGGAAAACAATGAGAAGTTCCCTTCGTTTTAGAAATGTGTTTTGCAGGTCACCTTGGTCGAGGCTACAACAAAGCACCAGTGTCTGTTTTGGAAAAAAAATATGGCCGCAGTAGTCCAAGAATTGGCTTAGTCTCACATGCTTTGAGCATGTTATGGAAAGACCAGTCTCTGGAAGAGCATCACGCTTGGTAAAGTAGAGGGGCATGAAAAAGAGGAAGACCCTGCAGGAGCTGGATTGGTAGCATGGTTGGAAGTATGGTTTCAATCACACCCTTCCTTGGCTTCATGGTGCATGATGACCATTAAACCTCTCGGAGGTGTCTTGTTCCTGCTGGAGAGGTCATTTATCGAATTAAACTCAGCCTCCTCCTAAGACTAGTCTCATTAATACAAGACCCTGAAACCATGAGAAGTGCTTGCTTACCAAGCAGGCTCTCGTGAGAAGACTTACTTTGAAGCGCAGCTTTCTGATAAGGGACCATCCGTTCATTGCCACACTCATGATCAGGGCAATACTATAAAAGGAGAAGCAACATTCAAACCTTCTTAACAGTGATCCCGGCAGCTCCTTCCACTAAGAGACTCACGATCACCGTCAACAGGATGATCCTGTTGTTGACTCTTGCCCTTGGTCTGGTTTGTGGTATAATCACAACTACACACAAATGGACAACTATTTAAAAGAAAGGTGGGGGGGGAGAAAAAGTTGGGGTCGGTTGGGAAGGAATGTGCACGAAAGGATGCTTTGTTTTTGAGACCTGCAGCAGAGGAGACAAGATCTGAGAGCGGTGTGTCCATGTGTCCAAGTGTCTGAATGTGAGACTGTGTCCTCCACAGCAAAATACACTCCCATTGATGCTGTTGGCTCGGTCTAGGTAAAAGCCAGGGATCTGAAATTCACCAGAGCCCCTGTTATTTACAGCAAATGCCCCCAGCAAGATCCCAGTGGATTGCAAAATTCTTCCTTTTGTTCTCGAAATCAGGTCCACTTTATGGCATCTCAATTCTGCTCAGAGGAGCAGTGGGCCGGTCAGCTCTGACTCCTGGTGTTCCCATCCGTCTCCGAGGAGAACTGCTCTCAGCAGGGTTCTTATTAGCACCGTTGCTATTGCTTTCTCTGTTTCTTTTTATTTTCTGAACTAGACAGCCAGGTCTTGCCTTGAGGAAATTCTGGGTGAACTAAAACTTCCAACTCTCTAGTTAATAGTCAAGCACTGGAAATTTTACCCCACCAAGGATCCTATAAAACATTTCTATGGAGACCCAAATAGGTGGATTTAAAATGAAAAATAGCTTGAATTTCTGGGGCATTCAATATCCGGTCTTTTTTCCAAGGTGCCCATAAGTGGGCTCAAACTGCCAATCTCTCGGTTCCTAGAGGAGTGCCGTAGTGACTGATGCTCAAGGATCGCAAGGTTCCCGTGTGAAATACTATTGCTCACTGTCTGCAAGAATTCAATCACGTGCTTTAATTTCTCAGGCCGAGGGTAGGGGGAGTGGTTACATCTCTTTAAAACAGACCAATTCCTCCTAAAAGGATCTGTCTTTCCCTGGACCAGCAGAAGGGCTTTTCCATTTAATCCAACTCTTTTGACATTGACTGAAGAGACGCGCTGTTTAAGATGCCTAATCCCATTACATGTGATCCCACACATAAGGACAGGGACAAATCCACACAGGGGCCAGAACTCCAAACACGGTTTCTGCATGACATGAGCTTCCACGGGCAGCCATGAGATGGGTGGAGATTCGATCTCTGTTAGTTCACCGTCACCATGCATGCTTTTCAGGTGTGAGTGCTGTAATAGAAGGGGGCTAGATGTCTGAAACAGCGCAGAGAGGCCTGGCGATCTGTTTCAATAATGGTGACAGTCATGTAAATCCCAGAAGCACACTGATGGCCTGGGACACTTGGCCATCACAAACGCAATCATTGATTTTACCGGGGCTGGGAATGGGCAGTGTATTTTAAGGTTATCCAAACACTTCCAGGTAAATAAACATAGCCACAATCTATTTCTGTATCTATAGCTATATCATATCTACATCCACATCCACAGACATCTCCATAGCATACTCGTGTGGTGCCTCCACTAGTGCACCAGCCAGCTGACACCTCAGTGTCATTAGTTCAGAAGATCTGAGATCAATCTTGGAAAAGTACTCTTGTCAAGACAAAATGGCCCGCGTAGGGCTGCCCAGCAGACCAGTAGCCTTGACTTCTTCAGGTTGCTTCAGCGGCTCTCATCCATCCAGGTCCCCCAGGAAACGGACCTTCTGGACATCCATTTCCATCTCTCCTGGGACAAAAGTCAAAGTTGGAAGGGCCCACAGAGATGATACCATTTAACTTCCTGCACGTCCTGCATGAACTTGATTGCTTGGAAAAGTCAGGGCATTTTGCCTGGCTTCAGCCCTCGTGGCTGGCAAAAGTAGAATTCAGATGTATGGACTTCTTGTAAGAAGTAGAGACAAGGAATTCAATCTAATCACACTTTTTATTTGGAAAAAACAGCAGTAATTAACCACAACCTATAAAATCAGCCCCTTGTGTATTTTTTTTTTTTGCATATACTTTTTTGGGATACATTCTCCTTGCCTCCTGGAAAGGAAACTATCTCCCAATGAATTGCTGACTATAATAAAACAATTCTGGATTAACTAGAATCTCCCTTGCATAGATCACACCTGTGAATAGTCATACACACATTGCATTGGGTAGATCTGCTGCCCAATGCCTCGTTCAAGTGGGAACATGCAGGAACATTTCTTTGGGGATTAAAGCAGGCCTGCACCCAGCCAAGGTATGTTCAATCACCTCACATATGCATGTGCAAGGTGGAAATTGAATAAGGCAGAGCGCCGAAGAACCGATGCACATGAACTGCCAGAAGAACAAACAAATCGGTCTTGGAAGAAGCTCAGCTAGAAGACTCCTTGGAAGTGAGGATCATGAGAATCCCTCTCGTGTCCTTCAGAGATTTTATCAGAATAGATCGGTTCCTGGGCTAGGATGTCACCCTTGGTAAAGCAGCGAGTCAGCATAAAAGAGGAATGCTTTCCACAAGATGGACTGACACAGTGGTTGCAACAACGGGTTCAAACACAGGAGTCGCAGTGAGGATGGTGCAGAACATGGTGGTGTTTCATGACGTCATACATGAGTGAGTTGGAACAGACCCGATGACACCTCGCAATAACAACAACACACGTATTAAGTGGCAACTATAGATTTCCTTGAAGCAGAGTTACCACGAGCCAACAATGTGTCAATAAATAGACTGCTGTGCACTGATACGATGTGCACCCAAACAAGACTGGGCTCTGGGGAGACGTGGAAAGTGTAGAACCAGCGAAGAAAACCACCGGCGGGTCCACGGTGACTGGACAGATAGGTGTTTCGTGGAAAGGAAGCAAGGCTGCTTTCTGGACTGCAAAAACTTTTTGCATCTTGACAATGGTGGGGTTTGCTCAGGGGAAGACGGGGGCCACCACGGAACTGGGTGCGTCAAGAGAGCATGATCTTTTTTTTTCTTCTTTTTTTTTTGTGAGTGAGTGAGTGAGTGAGTGAGTGAGTGAGTGAGTGAG